TTTTGCATATATCATGTATCACTACCATTGTTATATATCGTTCATAGCTAAGTTCAAATTCCGTCTGAAACTGTTTGCGTTCACTTCGCGATATTGCTGTTGGGGAGGTCATGAAGTGCCTTCTCCCCCCCCCCAAGCTATGTAGCCCTTTCGTCTTGTATAGATCAAGAGCATTTGATTATTACTTCTTAGGTCAGCGATCGTTTTTTACTGCCGAATTTGCACATAAATGAATATAATGACTCCGACTAGAATTGGAACTTAGCTTTCCGATTTCAAATTCCCAGCCGTTACCCATTACACCACCCGCACATCCAAGCTTACAGCCCTGGTATTTCCAAGCGGTTACTCATCTTGGTACTGACCAGGCTCGACGTTGCTTAAGTTTGGTGATCGTACAAGAACCGATATCTCAACATATGGCCGTAAGCTAGTAGCAATAGTAGTAATTAATTATTACTACTACAACCAAAAATAACGATTGGGCTTTCATGGATCACTCGAGAATTTGAGGCAAGAATCATTGCTTAACATGTCGTGCGACATGAAGTAAATTTACTTTTTTCAATATCTTACTTTATGTAAATGTCAAACTTACGAAAGATTTAAATAACAACGATCAAACCGTTAAAATATTTGCTGGTCTTGGTGTGTGTGGTTTCGATCCTTGGATCCAGCAAAGACATTCATATACTCTGGTTGGATGGAAACGGTATCACGAGAAAAGCTTAACCAACACGGGTTATCTCCCCTTGTATTAGGAGCAGAATGAGAATCTACTACATTGGATTAACTTAAAAAGGCCAGGTTCAAAATTCTGAGCAACTCAAATATAAGAGTCACCTGAAGAAAGTCGGCGAGTGTGACGGAGCTTTTTGGCTTTCTGACAATGAGACCCGGGTTCGAATCTCAACATGGACGATTGGCCAGGGTGGTAAACCCAGCACGCGGAACCTTTGCAAAATTGACCCAAATTGGGTAGACAGAAACCGTCGATCACGGTGGCCTTGTTCAAAAATTGAGAGAGACAGAGACACAGAGAGAGAGAGACAGAGACAGAGACAGAGAGAGAGACAACTAAGGTCTTCTCGATATAGTTGCAGTTATTGTAGTGAAATGCTACTCTATTATTATTCTGTTTCAGCGAACGGACTCAATTTTACCTTGAACAGTTACTATTTCTTTCCTGTTCGTAGTTTTGTTATGTCCAGTTATATTATATTTAATAACCTAGAGTTATTTTTACGACTTTCATTCATAACCGAAAATAGATTAAAGACCTGCGAGGTTGTAACGCCCTCACGCTAGATTGAAGCCGGGGGGATGCGGTGCAGAGTATCTGTCCCGCGGCCGTGATCAGCTAAAACAAGGTTTGTACCCGATCCCGCTTAATCGGAGGCTGGGTAAATTTTGACCAATAGTCCGGGTGTAAGCGCTCGAGTTCCCCACGTTAAAATAATTGACCTTGCGTCGCATCCTGACGCAGTGAAGAGTTTTGGTAAATACCGAAGACGCTCTCGGTCGCGGTCCAGAGACTATGATCAAATTGTAGGGGCACCTCGACGTGGTGTAATGGTTAGAAAGCTTGTCTTCCTAGATCAATTACGACTGAGAAGTGAGTTCGATCCTCACTGGGTACCCCATACTTTCGGCCTTGTCCCACATCTAAGCCGGGCTTAGAAAGTCACTATGATCAAATTGTAGTATCTGTTCCGCGGCCTTGACCAACTAATACAAGCTTTATGTCCAATCTCGCGTAAGCGGGGGCTGGGTAAGGGGAGCAACTGAGGAAAATAACACTGAGGTGACCAGCCCTGCGGAACAGTTGCCCGAGGCGAGAGAGAGAAAAAGAAAGAGATCGGTGCTCGCCAGCGCAACCGACGGTTGAGAGCGCTCAGGGAATTTTTGTCCTTGGCCCGAGTGTACGTGCTCAGGTTCTCCACATTAAACCCTTGTGTCACATCCCGTGTACAGTTGGGAGACCGGGTAAATAATTACTCTGCCTTAGGAAGATGATTGTGTAGTATTCGTTCCAGCAACAGTAGTCGACTTTGTTAGCCAGAATTCGTTCCAGCAACAGTAGTCGACTTTGTTAGCCAGAAGAGCAAATGTTTGCGTTGACAGACTAACTGACTTCCACGTTTTCGCTTAGCATCTAAGTCTTTTCTCGGCTGCACGATATGCTGACTGCCCTTTTCAGGACAAACCTAAATCCTTTCTCGGTTGCATGGTATGCGATATTTACCTGTCCTTTTCAGGATAAACTTGAGAGATTCCTCACGACAAAATCTCAAATCCTTTCCCAACTATATTATATGCAATAGCAAACCATTCTTTTCAGGACAAAACTCAGTCCTTTCTCGACTACATGATATGCGGTAGCCGTCATTTTCAGGACAGACTCAGGCTATTCCTACTATATTATATACAATGTTCAACTATCCCCTTTGGGGACAACGTCTTCTACCAATCCATTCGGTGATTCAGGCTTTAGTCTCCTGCTTCCTATCATCTCGTGAATCACAGTGGTTTCAGCCGCCTACTCTGAGATAAGACTACCAGCTAATATCAACACATCAACTGTCCATCAACCTTTGTCACTACCCAAGCTGCCCCGCTCATCATCTGTTGGCGCATTTAAAACTAAAATTTAACTCCCCGCACGACCACCCAGAGTATTTAAAACCTCTGCATCTTCTGTTACTTTCATTGTATTTTTGCCAATAATAAATTTTGCTATACTTTTATCTAAACTCCTCGTTGTAGTTATCCTTGCCTTGGCCTGTGTCACGTCTTCATTTTTAATGCTTGTGGGGATCGTCTAACGGACATCTGGTCCCCTCAACACAGTATAAACAACAGAGAAGTGCCAGGAAACGAACATCGGCGATTATGACGCCACAGATTCCGTTACTTTATTACCTGAAAGATAGTTGTCTTAATCATGACCGGCTACCAAACCCAGTCTACTCTGAAAATAAACTCACAGCGTACAGGAGACAGACCTAAAAAGAATTTTGTGCGAAAGTGAACGAAACAGACTCGGCCGGAATTTGAACTCGGCTCGCCAATTCCATTTTCCATGACAATAACCGTTATTTCTACCTGCACATCACAATTTTCTAGTAAGTCACCGAAAAATGAGAACTTCGATCTTAGACAATAAATAAAAGACTCTGGTTAGCAAAATCCAAATTACTGTTTATAAACACATTTTTCTCTATCGATCATATCTGCTCACCAATGATATCTTAACGTAAATAATGACAACATATTATGAAATGGATTAAATCCGACAATTATTTAATGTATTTTCTGTTTATATGTTATCTTTATAGATATAATTCAGACATTGGTAACCAGACGCTTGTTTGTGGCTGAACGGTTACCAGCACGTCAGTTCAAATGACGGTTCCCATTAGGGTTACAGGTTCGATTTCTGTCAGAGAAGGCATCTTTTCCACGAAATTTCAGGCCGGTAAATGTAATTCATACTGTTTAATTATAATAATAATAATAAAAAATAAAAATAAAAAAAAAACTAGGACACATACACACATGCATGCATACATACATACAGTTATTTTTAAATTGACTTTCTATGTTCACATTCCCTAAAGTGGGAAAGTTGTGAATTCTCAAATAGTTTCGTTGATTGAGAAAAAGTAAAAGTGTTTGAGAATTCGAGGGCTCATTGTTTGGTATGTATTATCACGCACGAAATTTAACTTAGACTCGTAGATGCCTTAATCATCCCAAAACACAAAGAAATCAAATCTCGTTCATAAATAACTCGTTATCACAAAATCTTCAAAGAGAGTCATCAAATGTCGCTGATCTCATTTCTTTCCTTCGTCATGTCATTTTCATCAGAGGTAAATAATCCGTCAAGAGATGTTGTCCCAACCAAACACGTATAGGAAATAGAAAGGTTTGGGGAGGGATTTAGTTTTCAAATTATTACAATAATAAATCAATGTCAGGTATTTTTGACACCAGGCAAGTCTAGATCAATGATAGGAAAGACCATGGAGTTGTAAAGGTGGGTGGGTGTTTGTATGCAAATAATTAAAGAAGCGTACAAAATCTTGGTTTTCTAACACTGAAAGTTTTTTTTTTAATGATAACTGTAAGAAAACAAAGTTTTCACTGCCTCGTGGGTAGGTTCATTTTCTTTTTGGTCCAGGATTTAGGGTAAATAAGTATAAGCATGGTTATAAATGGTCGTGCTAAAGTCAGTCTTTTACCGAATTGAAACGACCAAAGAAAAGGTTGATTTACTTCATAGGTAAAAGGTTTTGAAAGACACGTACGAATGTCATGCATTTGATACACGAGAAGAGTTCAGTCCGGGAAAACTAACGTGCTCCAGCGGTGTTCTTTGCTTATGTGCGACTAGACCTAGAAGCAAGACGGGGAAAAAGAGCGAGAAAGGAAAATGTTCATCTTTTTATATATTTAACCAGCGCCGCTTAACGGCGTTTGACGAAGCCAAATAGGATAATATTTTCGGTTTCTTTTACTACTAGGATAATCGGAAAATGTATTTTTTTAAGTATTTATTACTATTTTATTTAATTTTCTCACAAAACCCAAAACAAGAAAAGGCTGATATCAATTTGGTTCTTTAAGAAGGCTTCCTCCTTAGAGTAATTAAGAACGGGATCTGCGGGTTATCGATGCGAAAAGTGATATCAGCAAGCCGAGTTGAAATTTTTTCATCAGTTGCGTTCCCTTTTGCACAAATACCTCTTGAGAAGGGCATGAAGCCATCTCTTGTCCCAGCTATAGAGTTAAATAGGGTAGACAAAGATCACTTGCCTTCGGTAGCAGACAGAAGAGGAGATTCTGAATTCAAATAAAATAAAGACGTGGAGAAGACAACAGGTAAACATTAACCTATCTTTCCTAAGTAATCATGGCAATTCAGATAATAAAAGGAGAAGGGGCGTTAACTATATTAGAGATAATAGGTCGTATTGGAATGTTACGGATTTGTTTTATAGACAGCAAGGAGAGAGGAAAGAGAGAAGAGAGAGAAGAGAGGAAAGAGAGAAGAGAGAGGAAAGAGAGAAGAGAGAGGAAAGAGAGAAGAGAGAGGAAAGAGAGAAGAGAGAGGAAAGAGAGAAGAGAGAGGAAAGAGAGAAGAGAGAGGAAAGAGAGAAGAGAGGAAAGAGAGGAAAAAGGAAAGAGAGAAAAGAGAGGAAAAAGAGAGGAAAGAGAGGAAAGAGAGGAAAGGAGAGGAAAAGAGAGGAAAAAAAAAGGAAAAAGAGGAAAAAAGGAAAAGGAAAGAGAGGAAAAAGGAAAGAGAGAAAAGAGAGGAAAAAGGAAAGAGAGAAAAGAGAGGAAAAAGGAAAGAGAGAAAAGAGAGGAAAAAGGAAAGAGAGAAAAGAGAGGAAAAAGGAAAGAGAGAAAAGAAAAATCGGGGGAAAAGGAAAAAAAAAGAAAGGAAAAGTTTTCATGTCATTGTAGTTGCTTACAGCGGATTTTTCCGTCGCGGTGAATCTTATCACGACAAAGCTGATAAAATGGCGCATTGCTCAGAGTACGATTGTCAGGAGAGTGAAGAACTTGGGTAGTAGATATTTTCCTTTTCTTTTTTAATTTTTCTATATACTGTGTCCCTTCAGGACGTTGGCAATCACGGATCTGTACGAATTCCTGTCTTTCGTAGCTCATATTTTGTATTTTTTTGCCATCCATCCTAAAACCCTGTCCAACCAACCATATACACAAGCTCGTTAGGTAGGTTATGCACTGCTTTTCTCTGTCTCGCAATATGTCCTGTGAGTGTCAGATTCTCCAAGCCCTCTTTCCTCGTTATGTACCAGAGAAATTTCAACTCTTTCTGATGTTACGCGTAAGTGTTCTTTCTGATTCCATTTTCTCTGAAACTTCGTCGTTGCTGACATGTTTACTCCATGGTATTCTCGGCATCCTTCTGTAGAAGGAGATTTCTGTTGCTTCAAGTCTCTTCATTTGTGATGAGATTGACCTGCATTCAGGAGGACCGATATTACTTAACAATCCAGTAATATTTTCTTTGTTTCTAATTAAGTGTTTCTTTGCTCAGCTTTTGGTAAAGCATCTTTCGCTCTTCCAACGAGTCTCCGAATTTCCTTCCTCGATTAAAAACTCTTCCCAGATATTTTAATTTGATCACATGTTCAGTACAGGGCATTCTCAACATCATCACTACCCACTAGCATGCACATGTACGAAAAAAAAAAAAAAAAAAAAAAAAATTCAAAGCCGGTATTGTCGGCATTTTTTTTTCGTTGGTCTAGAAAAAAAGAACTAGAAGAGGATGGGCTAAACTCGTTAAAAATACGAAAGTCGGAGTGGCAAAAAGGCTGAGCGAAAGAAACTTTAAACTCAACATATTTGCTGACAAGGACAAGATAATTGACGAAGTGTCAAGATCAAAGTAACCAGTCTGACAATAGCGTGTTATTCTTCCACAAGATGGCAGTACCTCCTCCTAGGGAAGGTTTGTACAATTTTGTACTTCCTGTGTAGATATATAGGAAATAAACCCTATAGTTGGATAGGAGCATGTTTTTCGTTTGCATTTTCTTTGATTAAGCCAACGCAGAAACTGATAGAATTAAAGAAAAAAAACTAAAATTAAATATAATCGAAGAACAGAATCAAATTTAACAAATAAATCAAATAAAAAAAAATAAAAAAATATAAAAAAATAATTTACAAATATTTATTATAGAAGTTAAATAAAATTAATAAAATTTTAAATCCCCTAAAAAGTATCATCTTAAACACATAAAAAAGCAAAAAACAAAAAAAACATACAGAAAAATACACAAAAAAATACAAAACAATAAAACGGGATTTTGAATGCTGAGTTTCAAGGCAAACAGACTTCATTTTGAATATTGGTACGATACAGTCTATTATTCGACCATGTTTAATAAATGTCTTGTCGAGAGCAAATGTGCAATAATTTCATTAGCTATTTTTTAAAATATTAAACAAGTTTTCCAAAGTTTATTTTCTTTACAGGTTGCCACTAAAATTCATGAAATTTAGATGGTCAAATTCAAACTGGAAAATTTAATCATTTTTTAGTATTTAATACAATCGATCATAATTTTAGGCGTCAAAATCATAAATTAAACGCACCCGCTTAACTGGAAGCATTTATTAAAATAAAACACTGACATCGCGTCCGAAATTAATACGACTTAAAAAGTATCCACGAAAGATAAAGAGATTGCACCACTGCGATAAAGGTAAGTTTTTTCCCCCCTTATCGTATTTTTTGGTTAGAGATATAAATTCCTTTTACGCCAACCGTAAAATTATTGATCAGAACGAACTGAGTGATATATATATATATATATATTTTTTTTTTTTTTTTTTTTTACACAAACGAATAACAAAAGAAAGACTAATCTATATTTTGATAAATCCTTTTTATCCCCTACTTAGCGATTTCCTAAAACACTCCATGGCACACAATGACGTCTCTTAAAAATGAAAGACAAACAAGTAATAACAGTCGTATTTATGACATTGAAGTATTTTATTTGGTATTTTATAAAAGGGAAAGTCTTAAACCCATTTCTTATCACATTTTCTCCGGCTATAGGTTAAATAGCAATGTAAACTGGGTTCTTTAGCCTATGTGGCAGCTGGTCTAGGAGAAAGGTTATTCTGAAATCAAAACCGTGAAGAAGGTAACGTGGTGAAAGTACATTTATATTTTGCAAGAAGTCATGCAATTCACAGCAAACAAAGAAAAGGGATGTTTGGGGAGCCATGAGCACCTCAAGAGACATGGCGTTTAAAAAGAAAGTATGAAATGGATTAAATTTTGCAGAATTGGATAATATAATTTTTCAGAATTCGAAAGACTGTTGTAAATCAATTTCCGAAATTAAAAAATTAAATCTGTCGTCTTTAATATATTTTTTTAACTATTTCTTTCAAATGACATCGTGTGCGGGTTTGTTTTTTTATTTTAATTCAACTAACAATTGTATGAATGCGAATTCTCTTGTCCAGTTCTAGAGATCTTAATCCGATTAATCCAAGGTGTTACGGTCACCAGTGTAAGATTTCCCCCCAGTGAAGATCTCACGCTACAAAGAAAGTTACATTGAAAATCTCATATAGAAGATCTTACGTGCGTCTGCGTCTCCAAATCAATTCTTTCGACTACAATATTCCTCGCTACCCCTTCATCCACGATAGGTGATCCCATTTTCTCACTCTTAGGAGTGTTCTTAAAAACACGTCAATGTTTTGTTGTAGTAATAATAATAATACAAAAAACAACTGAAACAGACGGCCCGAAAAATTATAGACTGATAACATGTCTCTCCACAACGTATAAGTTGATCACGTCTGTACTGACGAACCGTACTTATTCCTTTCTCGAAACAAACAGCATTCTCCCGCTGGAACAGAAGGAATGCAGAAGAGGTTCATATGGCTGCAAAGATCAACTTCTGATAAATAAAATGATCCTGGAAAATTGTAGGAGACGACGCAGGAATCTAAGTGCAGCGTGGATTGATTATCGTAAAGCCTTTGATAGTGTTCCACATTCTTGGATCCTTAAGACTTTGGAAATGTACAAAGTCTTCCCTGTGGTATTAAATTTCCTTAAGCACAGCATGGGAATGTGGAACACCAAACTATACCTTAGTCACACCGGGGGCACTGCCATATCCAACCGTCTGAATATCCGACGTGGAATCTTTCAAGGAGACTCTCTGTCACCCCTTCTGTTTTGTTTATCCTTAATCCCTCTTACACATGAACTGAACAACAGTAGCTATGGTTACAAAATAAATAAGAAAATATTCAATCATCTACTCTACATGGATGATCTCAAACTCTTTGCCAAAGACGACAATGAGTTGAAAGGCCTCCTCAATATTGTAAAATACTTCAGTGACGACATAGGTATGGACTTCGGATTAGATAAATGTGCAAAAGTAACTTTCAAGAAAGGTAGAATTACAGAAACACCCTTAATAGATTTAGATTTTGTCACAAGATTAGGGAACTGGAGCATGATGAAGCTTATAAGTACCTAGGAATTAGCGAAGGAGATGGCATACAACACCCCCAAATGAAGGAAAAAATAAGAAAAGAGTACTACAGGCGTGTACGTCTGGTACTAAATACTGAGCTAAACTAAAAAAAAAACAGGATATCAGCCATAAACACATTGGCTGTCCCTGTGGTACAATACAGCTTTAATGTCCTTAACTGGACCATAGCTGAAATTAAGCGAATGGACGCCAAAACGAGAAAGCTTCTCACTTGCTATCGCATGCATCATCCCAAAGCTGATGTCGATCGTCTGTATGTGCCCAGATCCGAAGGAGGCAGAGGATTAGTTCAACTAGAACTGTCCTACAAAACTACAACAATTGGCCTCCAAAGATATTTGGAAACTACAGAAGACTGGATGATGGTATGCGTCAAGGAACATGAAAGTAGTAAGCGTCTTTACTCCGTAATGAAAGAAGCCAACAAATTCAAAATGGAGATTCAAATGGGCGTAGAGATGCAACTACAGCACAATACACCGGCTGAAACTGCAAAATACCTAAAAAAGACAGCAAAGACGAATGCAACCGACCAGCTACAGAAGCGATGGCAAGATAAAACGCTTCATGGCCAATACTCTGCCCGTACCAAACAAGCTGACGTAGACAAAACCCGTACCCATCAGTGGCTACGTAGTGCAGGGTTGAAAGCGGAAACTGAAGGTTTTATCCTTGCTGCGAAGGACCAATGCTTGCTAACTAGGAATTATCAAGCACATATACTAAAATATTGTGTCAGCTCAAAATGCAGATTCTGTGATAAATATCCAGAAACGATTGAACATCTTGTATCAGGTTGTACGGTGTTGGCACCCACTGAATATAAAACCCGACATGACAGAGTGGGCCAATATCTGCACTGAAAAATCTGCAACTTCTACGGGAAGGAAACTGAAAGAAACTGGTATGAACACCACCCAGACCCGGTTACGGAGATAGGACCTGTTACAATTCTATGGGACTACACAATACACACTGACAGAACAATCAAGGCCAACCGGCCAGATATTGTTATTAAAGACCACAAACAAAAACGATGCCTCCTTATTGATATGGCAGTCCCTGCTGACTGCAATGTATCTTTGAAGATACTCAAAAAGTTGTCAAAGTACAAGGACCTTGAAATAGAAATCTCGAAAATGTGGCATATGGGAACATCAACAATCCCTGTTGTAGTTGGAACCCTAGGACTGGTTGGAAAAGATTGCAGTAGACTAATTGAAGGGATTCCTGGAAGTCCATGCCTCAAGGAGATACAAAAAATTGTTCTGACAAGTACAGCCCACACCTTACAAAGGGCTTTATCTATGTAATTCAATTCTTTTTTTTCCTGTCAGTGGAAAGTGTCATGACGCCATTTCTAACCTTAGGTCCCTGGGCGGGACCCGGAAAGAAATGTGTAAACGCCAGAAATTAATAATAATAATAATAATAAATAACAATAATGATAAATC